GGGTGAATATATACAAGTCCTAGTACATGGACTGAGTATTGCTTACTAATATTTTGAAGAGCTTAAAAGTAGACAGCCCCTAGCGCAGATGTCTGCCTGAGGGAGCTTGTATAACCACAAACCTTGCAAGTGATTAAACTGAGGCGGACCTAATTAAAAATGAGACTCCTCAGGGTTTTTGCTGCAACCAGTGTTCAACTCGCCCTGCCCTGCCCTGGAGCCACAGGGGCTACTGCGACTCGCACTTTGAGCATGAGCTGGTCACCACAATCGTTGCACCACCCTACTGCAGGTTTAACAGGATAATATTTACAGACTGCTCTGTACAGCACCCCAGTATAATTGTTCCTTTGAAAATGTAAAAAGCTGTAATTGCTAAGTACTGTCGTGGGGTGAAAATGATTAATGCCAAATTAATTCCCAGTTACAAGGAGATCCACTGATAATGAAGTTGAACGTTTGCTCTGCTGGAGCAATTTTGTTACCAATTCTACCAGGGTCATGTATCATGTCATCACAGCGCTAGCCCTAGGTAGTGAGAGGAAGGGTAGAAAGCCCTGACTGATGAAGTGGTTAAGGTTGACTTTATCCAGAGAGCCCTTGGCCAACAGGCAAAGATTTTTGAATGGAGTTTCGCTTGCTTGTATGCAAGGCAGTCTAGTTTCTTTCAGAGAAAGCTCAGCAGCGAGGCTCTGTAGCTTTTTCCAGTTGTTGCTCCTGGAGGGGTTCTGGGGTAACACCACTGTGATGGCTCTGGGGTTTCTGCCCCACCTCATGAGAAACTTTGTGTTTGTTTCTCATCTTTTAAAAATAACTAATAGGTAGGGTTTTCTTTGAGGTGACTGTTTCTGGGCTATGTTGCTTTCCAAATGCAGAAATGCTTTGAGGCCCCACAAGCCAAGGGGCAAGCATGCCTCTTTCCAAAGTCATCATCATGGCATGGGTTAAAACTGGGCCAGCAGAAACTGAACCATCCCCAAGAAAATGAATATTGCTCAACTCCCCTAACCATGTCTAGTCCTATCTGTGTCTAGTTTCTCTGCCAGCAGCAAATGGTGTGTTTTTCCCTATAACCTCTGGACGGCAATGGAGCAGTATTGCAATAACAACCTTTATCTTTGCTGGCTATTGAAGAATGTAACTTTAATATCTGCCGACTTCAAAAAGCAAGTCAAAAATCAAGTGGATTTTAAAAGCTGCTGGCCGAACTTTCCAAGTCAGGTCAGACCCAGTTCCGGGAGCATCTGAGGCTGTGCCTTGGCAAGCAGCCCGAATGAGAGGGAAGAACAGAATGTTACTGCTGCTTTTTGAAACAAGGAAATTTGAAGATGGAGAAATACACCTCAGGGGGTGTGAGCACATAGGAGCTTCTGATTATGCATTTCTAGCTAAACTACATAGTGTATCACTGCCTAGTTACTCAGCGTTGGGCTGTGCAGACAGGTGGCTTTTGATAACTCCTACAGGAATAGGAGTAAGCTGCAATTTTTTAATGGATGAAATTAGTGAACGGTTCTCAGTACTGAAACCTGCTCTGTTTTGCAATCTGACCCTGCCAGCACCAAACTCCCTGGAAGTTGTGCTGCCTCCCTGAATGAGTCCAGCATGCAGTGTGGTCCCTTGGCTACCTCTAGGCCCTATTGTGTTTCCCAGCCCCAGGTGAAGCCAAACTGAAGATAGCGGCTATAATTTGCCCTTTGCAATACTTACCAATGGTGGTTTCACAGAACTTTTCATCAGCCACTTCTTTGGCTATGTTGGCCCCCATAAGCACGCTAATTTCTATTTTCAGTTTCTCTCGAATGTGGTCAGATATGAGCTTCAAGCCTTCAGGACCCTCATCAATCCCCTGAATAAAAGACGATAGTCAAAGTTATTAGAACAGGAAAATAACAGCAGCAAAGGACTGATAAAGCAGAAGGTGTCCTATTGCCTGCAGGTCTCCCTGGTTTTAATTGGAAGAATTCAGGTCTTGTATTCACTAGCGTTAGCCATTAGTACAAATGTTCTGCAAACTCAAAGTTCAGGGAGAAGGTGCAGTTGAGTTAACCCTGCCACAGGCCTCACACCCAACACTACTGCCCTGAGGGTTTTTTTTAAGCTGCATTTTTCCTTTGTGTTAAGCACCAGTGGTACAGAACCATACTTTTAAATTAAGCTTACAAGCAGTGGCTTTTTAGCAAGATCTTAAGTATTAATCTGAGTTCTTCATTGGTGTTAAAAGGTATACTGAACTGTCACTTTTTTTTGGAGCTTAAGAAAGAAGTAAATTTCCATGAATTTCTTTCCTTTCCCCTCCCCCCCTCTGCATACTGCTGCATGCAAGATAATTTCTGTGGGGGGGAAAAAAAAAAAAGAGGAGCCAATATTCCAATCTGAAAACTTGAATTAAATTTATTTCATTCCTATTTTAAATAGGATGCTTCCTGTAACACAATCAACAGAAGAAGCAGTAGACTATATTGCTACACTTTGCCTCCAGCTTTTAGTTTGAGATTCTCTTAAAATATTAATTCCTTTTAAGGTTATGATAACCTGACATCTCTAACCTTCAAAAACAGATTGCTCATTTCATTACAAATTGAAATTGCTTCAGTTCTGCAAAACTGTTGATGATACGGTGCAGTTTTATTGTTGCCATGAACAGCTTTGCATGTACTCAGGCTGGTTGCTCAGACCCAGTGCTCTGCCCAGGTAAGAGTTAACTGAGGCTGTAGTTGGAATATTTTTTTCTGGCAGCTGCGCCAGTTTATGCAGCCCTCTCTCTGTGCATTTTCACCCCTGTGCTGGTCCAAGTGGGAACTGATCCAGGCTAAAGATGGGTGACAAGAATGGTTACTCTTAACCCAGTGGGGTTGCCCAATCCTCTCCCCTCCAGTCACATGAATGGCAGAAGGACTGTTGGAGGCTTGGAGGCTTTAACTCTTGCAGATAAAAATGCTCATACTCACACAGAGCATGCAGTGAGGGCTGGAGTTCCTATCCTTAAACTGAACATATTTATTTACCCTACACATTGATTCTTGTGGAGAAGACAACTTACCTTAATCAGTGAAATCCCAAATGTTCCAGGTTTTATCTGGTCTGCAATCTGTTCACAGACCCGTCCGATGAATTGATGAGGTAGAACAAATACTAAGATGTCTGCCCCCTTTGCTGCTTCAGCCACGTCTGGTACCGCCACCTGGGACAAGTGGAACAATGGAAATGAGCCCCTCACACCAGGCAACAACTCTCACACCTTGCAGGATTACACCATTCCTGCGACATCCTTAATAACCAGCAAGCTGTAGCTTCCTCTCAATGCTAGTGTGACTCAGAACAATTAAAGCCAGGTTACAAAGGAAACGGCAGGTGAATTTAAGTTTGCTATTAAAATCAGATAAAATATTGCCCTTAGTCTCAGCCTTAGAGCAAGTGTGATTCCTTACAGAAGAATCAGTGCTGCTACCAGCAAGGCTGCTTCTAAAGGCAAATAGCAAAGCAAGGCCAGGACCGCGCCCATAGCACTGTACAGACAGCCTTTCTGTCTCTCCAAAATGTAGAAAAACAATACGAGGAAAAATATTTTTTTTCCTCGGAGCTGAAGATGTGAGGGGCCCTCCCTCCAGGCTTACTGCAACCAGCTGATTTCTGCTGGTAAAGTCTCAGAGGCTTTGTTATAGGTAGGATGAGGCTGCTCTCAAGTGAGGAAAACAAGCTTGTTGATCTGTTACAGGACTGTGAAAATAACAACGGCAATTCAGTTTGAACCCAGGAGAGCTGCATGCCAAGTTCAAGCCATGGGAGTGCAAAACTGCAATCCCAGCACTAAATGTGGTTCTAAATATAACCACTCTCCAAGCAAGGAGACCCACCACGTGCGGCATCTGAACTTCCTTTTACAACTACGGCTATTCTAGAAATGCAGTGCTACTTTCTTTAATTCACAGAGCGCTGTCGTTTGGCAAAGTCTTGAACAGCCCAAAAGCCTCACTTTGCTTGCTTCAGTAGCTCTAAATGATCTAAGCTGATTAAATAGTGAGGTATAATTTGGTATTTCAAATGTAAATGAAAATTAAATACCCTATATTTTGATGGAACTTGCAGCATTATTATTTAGTAACGTGTTGCTATCCTGACATCACCCAAAAACCGATAGCTCACTGTTCATCTCCTTGTTAGCCATGCTGTTGATTCCCTTTTTTAGAAGAAGGGAGAGCAGTAGCCTCCCCTCTTTATCCAGAGGATGCTGTGGGTTTAAAAATCTCTCTGCTCTGTGTATACACAGCCCTGGAAATAGCAAACAGAGAGATGCTGATTTATGCTGGGGAGGAGGATGGCATATTATGTATCAGTATTTGACACAGTTGGCTGTTTGAAATTGCATGACAAGAGATGAGCTGAAGTCCCAGAAGTAAGTTATATTTAATACTTAAAATACTGGAGTGAGTTAGGTGGCAAACTACAACAAGGCGGTGAATTACTTCCTAGTTTAAAGATTGCCAGTTGTTGCCTTCCTTGTCAAAAATTAAAATAAATAAAATCAGTGATTTTTTTCCAACTTACCACATTTTTAGGTATCTTGTATCCAGGAAGATACTTAACATTTTCATGTTCCTGGTTGATTATTTCTGAGAGTTTTCTTCCATTGATCATCTCTTCAAATACCCACATCTTGACAGTAGGATCAAATCTGTTGGACATCTGGACATTTTGGCCAACGATTCTTGCTATGGCTGAACCCCTTTTTAAAAAGAAAGAAAGAAAGAACTGATAGGACACAAACTTTCCTTGCCAATTGGAAACACAAGTTACTTTCAACATAATAACTCATAAAAGGCCTGTGCTACAAAGCTTCATCTGCCTACTAAATTTATCAGAAAGCTTTATCCACTACCCTCCATCAAAAACAAACATCAACAAAAAAAAGCCTTGGCTTAATATCACAAAAAGTAGAACCAGATAAAACATTACAGTTATAAGGAATCTGAAGTCATACGAAAGATTACAGAGTGGAAGTGTGATACGCCCTCAACAGCACTAAAAATATACTCTGAGGCTAATTGAATATCTCTTGATCCTGAGATTTTCTTTTTCTGAAAACCAACTCCAAAATAATCCAGGCAGTGAAGTACTCCTGAATGATCTCGCTGTGCCAGTCTTTGTGCATGTCATCTAAAACAAATGGATGCCAATTTCCTACCAATAACCAAACGGTTGCAGTAAGGATTTTATGTAGTATATAAAAACTAAGAAATTATCTTTAGGAAAAAAAAATCAACCTGGTGGTTTCTCTTTGGATGTGGTTCTAATTATCAGTGTAACAAGATCCAGAATATCTGAAGATATTTGAACCATCCCGTTTACTCTTGGTCATGCTGAGCATTTTTTATCTCAGTTTAGGCAATAACTTTATTATACCATCCAGCACTGCAGCCTTGTGAACTTTCACTTATTCTCTTAACAAGAGGAAAATTAAAAATCTGGAAAAAATACTGAGAATATCGCTTGATGCCCTTTAAATTATTTTGGGGGTAGAAAAGCGTGATTTTTATTTTCTCTCTTCTTTCTTTTTGCTTTAATACTACCTTAAAGTACTGGCTGTTTTGCTAACATAACTGAAAGAGGGGTTCCAGTTATGACGTTCTTGTTCTCTGACTCACTTGTGATATACCTGCAATTAGGAGCGTGAACAGGATTTAGTTGTTTTCTGTAACTGATAAAAGTCTTAAGTGCATCCAAGACGAAGTCCAGTGAGGTCTGTGCTGTGAATGGTTCAAAGGGAAGCCATGTTGTAACTGGCTTTCCTTGGCTCAACTCGATTTTTGATGCAACAGGTTTGCACAAGGCTAATTGCTCAATAGATAATTAAAGAATAAGGGTTTCATCTTAATCTTTAACTACAAAGAAATCCTACTGAGATCAATTTTCACTTTCCCAGCGTTGACTGCTTGCTATATCCTGAGCTGTTGTAATGCTTTCTTTCAAATTGAAAAAGGCAAAAAAAAAGGGGGGGGGGGGGAATAATTTGTTCTGGTCCTTTTTAAGTGTAAAATATGTAAGTATCTCCAGGGTAAACCTTTATTATTATTTTTTGAAAGGTATACAATTGCATCATATGTTTGTATTATCTGTAAAATTTCTTATGTTCTGGTTCTCTTCCCCTGTTCTCCAACAGTGAGCACAATCAAGGCCTGAGCTGAGGAAGAATTATGGCTTGCTATCATAAATATAATAAGAAAAGTTTTTTTACACATAAACGCTAAGACTTGAGATCTAAATACATTTTCCAGATTGTGCTGTAGTCTTCTTTTGTGAGAGGTGAGTTTTACCTGCTTATTATCTACAAAATGGTAACAACTTTCCCTGCTTACACCCAGCATCACCTATCCATTTTTCTTTCTTTCCTTAGACTAGAACTTCTTGAAAGCAGAGACTTTTTTTTTTTTGCTATTTATTTACAGGGCACTTAGGAGAGTAAAAAGCGGCTTCAGTCTCAGTGGAGCCCCAACATTCTCTTTCACTCTGAAAAGCTGAAGACAAACCTAAAAAGACTGCAATGTAGAAATGTTTAGAAGGTGTATAGAATGTGAATCAAGGTGACTTTTTGGGGGTGGTGGCTTTATAGCTTGTGACTGTACCAAATCTTTGTGGTCTTATGTTGAAAGATGCAGGTTCCAGCTCTAACTTCTGAAATCCTGACTGGGACTTGCAACTTTCAGTAGGTAAAGCTTGTCTTCCTGCAGAGCTGTCATTACCAATGCGCTTGGATGTTTCTGTCCAAGCATCCTCCCATTGACAAGATACCCATGAAGGTATCTCAGGCATAAAGATAGCTTCATAAATCACCTTGTTTTTGATCGTTTTCCTTTGGAATCTTGGGGAGACAAGGTGTAATGTTTAAAAGGCGTTCACTGGTCATTAATTGTTTCATTCTCTCTATGAAACAATTAAGCAGTTCAAAAGTTGACATACTGTCTCATTTGGTCCATTTAAAATTTGCAGTCACCGCTAATCAGCCTTGGAAAGAAGAATTGCTTTGTCTGTGAAGCCAGTGCTCAGCAGACTACACAGGCTTGGCAGAGAAGCTCTGCTTATGCAAACAAAACCAAGGACACACATGAAGACTTCGCCATTCTATTTTATTTCTCCGAAACTCTCTTTAGTGAAGATTAATAGATGGCCGAGAACTCCACTTGGATCATTTTTAAACGTAAGTGCAAACTGCCAATCATTCTTCTTCTCCAATTACATTGAATCAGGGTGGAAGTGATTTACATATTACTAAGAAAAAAAGCTCTCTTATGTGGAGGTTTCCTATTGGTACAATGGGATTTTTTTTTAGGGGGGTGAAGGTGTGAAGAGTAATTTAAATAAGACCCATTGTTTTATATATGCAAATATGAAAGTATTTGTGGCATACATTGGAATTGGTGAAAGACAGCTGAAAGCCTCCATGAAACCAGCTAATCCCTGTCAACTGCCCCTTGCATAGGAAATGTACTTATGCCATTCCTAGTAGGAGCTGTTCCAAGGAGGCCTTACAGAGCTCAGGTACTGCTGATACTTTCCCTTCCCTCAACAGCCTCCTAGGGCTTTGCTGTCCTTCTCCTTGGCATTAGAAAGACTGTCCTTACATCTAACCTAAATCTTACCGCAGTTTAAGAATTTCTGTTCTAAGAGGGAGGGATATTGTTTCTCTCCTTTAGATACTTGAAGAGGATCATATCTTTCTTCAGTCTCTCTTAGCCAGCCACCTCTTTTTTTTTTTTTTTTTTTTTTTTAAATTGTAGTATCGCTTAGGTTGGAATGGATCCCAAGAGGTCTCGAAAGTGGGAACAACACTGAATTCAGATCAGTTTGCTCAGGGCTTTGTTCACTTGAGTCTTAAAAACTCCCCAAGGACCAGCTCCTCTCTAGGTAACCTGTCCCACTGCTTTATCATCCTCATAGATTTCCACCCCCCTCTGTATATCCATTTGGAACCTCCCCAGTTCAATTTATGACCATTGACTCATTTTCCTTCCATGCACCTCAGTAAAAAGCCTGGCCATCTGTGCAGGGTAAGGACATATGCCTAGTTCAAGCTGAATCTTCACTGAGGAGAGTCCAAATGAATCTAATTAGATTAGAAGAGCTTTTCGGTTCTGAAGAGTCAGGCAGTGAAATAAACCCGTATTTTTAAAACCAGATAACTGAACCGTGATTAACAAACGCAAAGCCTCCTGTACCTGGCTGACAACTACAAGATGCAATGTGGCACTTGCTTTACTTAACCACATCAGTCATGAGTTTCCTGACAGTGTTGACTTAGTAAGCCAGTGTGACCTGCTGAACTTCTGCAGCTGACATTAGCTATTGCAAAATGTTGTGTCACATGTTGGCCACGTTTCTGAGCTGCAGGAAAGCCTCACGTGCAGTTATCTGAGCTGTCGCACAAATATTCGGGAGGAATATAAGGAGACAATGTTTGCCAAAGAAAAACATATTTCTGTGTTGTGCTAAGATTACCTGTACTGCCATAGAGGCTATGAATAGATGTAATTTAAACACTAGAGAACAACATTTATCTACTTCACAAAGATTTTACAGTCTGTCCATATGGTAGGAAGTAAGAGATGAACCCAGGCAGACAGGTAGTACAAGTAAGCAGATAGTACTAAGCGATCTGCTGGGCTGGAGTCTCGGTATCTCCAGGGCATAGTTCTTTTCAGTTTTGTAGATACACATTGTGAAAAAAAGAAGAAAAAAAAAAAAGAAAAAAGAAACAACTAACTGGCTTTTGAGAATGTTGTATGGAAAGGGAACAGCTTGGGAAAAGGCAGGAGATGCTTGCTTGAGGATGAGAGCAAGAGAGTAACTGAGTCTTTAATTGTTGGCGGATCAAAGGTAAAAGCTGACTCCCAGATGTTCAGCTGTGGCTCTTGAGGGGCTTGGAAGCAATAACGAGCAGCTTGTGCAGGCTGTGTTTAAGGCGAGGAAGAGGAGCGTGGCAAGGGAGGGAAGCAGGCGCTGGAATGACTCGGGAACAGCGGCAGTCAGGGGAGCAGGGTGCAGGAGCGATGGGTCCATTAGGGCCAAGGAAAGGGATGCTGCAGTGAGCCAGCTGTGTGATGGTGGCTTCCCAGGAAGGCCTGGCTGTAGGGTTGTTTGTGAAAGACCATATGTTAGAGACGTGCACGGGGAACCCATGCTTTGGAAGCATGTCACACGTGCGGGGACTCAAAAAGCTGTGGGCTGGTTTTGCAAGGCAGGAGGGTGCAGAGCCGCACCGTAACTACGCTGTGTTCTCAGCAGCTCGCAACCAACCACTCCCTCACCTATTGACTTTTTTGGTATTTGCTTCCACATAGCTGTCAGGTATTTAAAAAATCTTAAAGAACTTGCCCTCCTTGTAGAAAAACAATCAAAGAACTACCCAGAGGCTGGGTTTGCCAATCACAAGCACATGCATATACATGTTGTTCGGTTTGGTTGGGCTTAGGTTATATAAACTGTAAGATGCGAAGTCCATTCAGCCAGGGTTACTGACTTCACTGAAGTCTGCCAGAGCCAAGGAGCTTCTGCAAGCAGTGCTTTTGTCCAGGCTAGAAAGAACCGAGCAGTAGCAGGTATATTCTTATAAAGGGGGGCAGGGATAAGCCGGGGACTTGATGCTTTTATAATGCTGCAGAAGGATGCAAAACTACATACTGAAGATGACAGAAGTGAAGGGTAGGTTTAAGTCACGGTTTTTAATGAAACCCGTGTCCTGGTTCTTTCAAAGGAGTGCGAGCAGCATCACCGCTCTGCTCCATGCCTGTCTGAGAGGTGCCTGGGCTCTGCCACAAACACAACCACAGAGGCACAGCTCGGGTCCTCTCTGGGCTCTCGCTGTCCTGGTGCCAGGCTGGGCATGCTTGCTACACTTAAATCAAGCTGTGATACACTTAAATCAAGCTGTGATACACTTAAATCAAGCTGTGATACACTTAAATCGAACTGTAGCCTCGTGCTTGTGCAGCTCCCATTGGCTCAGGCAGCTCTTTGTTACTGGCATTTACTGGATGCGAGCATCCCGACCATTCCCGTTTAGCTTACAAAACAAAGAGCCCCCCGGTCCCAAAAGCAAGAGGAGCTTTTGCCCTGGCTCCCAATCTTCTCTTCCCGCAGGGTTATGGCTTTTAACGGAGCGGGGGAGGGCCGAGGTGCAGGCGGGACCCCAGCGGGCAGGGCCGGGTTTCAGGACCATGGAGACCCCCGGGCACCTGTTGCGGAGCCCCCCGGGCACCGAGGGGACACCCTGCCGGGCTCAAGCGGGGAGCAGGGCACGGAAGGAAGGGGAAAAAGGGAAGAAAAAAGGCGATAGATAAAGGGAGGGAGGGAGGAAGGAAGGGAGGGGGGTCCCGCGCTGCGGCACTCACCAGTTCCCCGAGCCCACGATGCAGACGCGGAGCGGCGACATGCTGCTGTGCCCGCGGCTCGGCTCGGCTCGGCACAGCCCGGCACGGCTCGGCACGGCTCGGCAGGGCTGCCAGCACCGCCCCCGGCCCGGCCCCTGCGGGAGAAGACGGGCGTCAGGCAGCTGCCAGGGCCCGGCCCGGCGCTGCGCCCCGCCGGCTCCGGGGGCTGGGCTGCGGCACCCCCGGGTGGGCACCCGGAGAGCCCTGGGCGCCGTGAGGAGCTCACGGGTCCCTCACTGGGTCCCTCACGCCAGGGGCTGGCTCTCAAAGCCCTGGAGCGCCTTCCCAGAGCCAAACCCAGCCGACAGCACGGCTCTCAGGGTGGCCCAGCAAATCCAAGTCCTCAGGACGAAGCAGAGCGTTGTTTTTTTCCCTACATGGTCTAACCATCCATCACTCCCTGCTGATTGTCTCCTCTCTGCCCTCCAAAGCAGCCCTCTCTCCCATTTTCAAGCCCAAGAGCACTCCCACCCTGCCAAGCCTCTGTGCCCTGCGCCCACCGGGCCCGACTTGGCGGCACCTGGCTCCACGACGAGGGGTTTGGAGAGGCAGGCGGGCTGCCAAAGCCTGAGAAGAGCCTGTGGGTGGTTTATGGAGGGAGGCATCGGCTCAGCCCGCCTGCTGCTCTCAGCTGCAGCAGCTCAGCTGCTCGCCTGGTGCATCCTGCTGGTGGGCAGAGTGCCTGGGGGCTCACAGAAAATACCCCAAATTGATGCACTGGGGGTACAACCTCCTGAAGGTGAAGGTAAAGCCCACCCTGGGCACGTGTGGGGCCTGCAGGGGGTTCTGTGAGGTTCTAGGTGCACCTTCCTTCACTCTCCTGCCTGCTCACCACGGTTAGCTCTTTCCCTGGCTGGATAGCTCCTCTGTGCCTCGTGGCTTTCTTCTCCCTTTAGGTTATCCCCTCCCTGTGAAGATCTCATGTGGAGGCGAGGAGGAGCCACCAACCCTCCTGACACTTCTCTGTCATAACCTCTTCAGTCCTAGTGAGTCCTCAAGGCCTGGGGTATGGGCACAATCAGCAGAGTGCTGTCTTCTGGATCTAATCCATGTAACTGAAGGTCACAGAATTATAAAGTGGTTTGGGTTGGAAGGGGCCTTAAAGACCATCTAATTCCACCCCCCTGCCATGGGCAGGGACACCTCCCACCACACCAGGTTGCCCAAAGCCCCATCCAGCCTGGCCTTGGACACCTCCAGGGATGGGGCATCCACAGCTTCTCTGGCAGCCTGTGCCAGGGCCTCACCACCCTCACAATAATATATTCTGGATATCTAATCTAAATCTACCCAACCGTTACTCTGTGTCTTATCACTACTCCCTGATAAAGAGTCACTCCCTGTAAGATGTCCCTGGTCTATGGAGTATTTGAGTACTGCAAACTGTAATGTTTTCATCTAAATTAAGATTTGTAATTACAAAATGCTGCCGTATCAGTTCAGTAGCCTCTCAATCAATTGATTTGTGAGGCCTTCACGTGGGGTTTGCACTGACCAGGGGTGAGATTGACAGCGGGCAAGCAGTTTTAACCAGGGACACAGAACTGCCATGAGAAATGGGGCCTTTCTCAGATTCGAGCCCTGGAGCCATGGAGCACCGGTGGATGTTGATGACTTGTTTCCTCAGGCGAGATGAAGGATCTGTGCTTGCCAACATAGGCACAGTGTTTGTTTTCCACATAAGCCCAGGAGAGCCCTGGAGTGTGAGTCATTAGTACATAGCAGACATAAAAGCTTGGGCCGCTTAGCAGGGAGGACGGAGACAACCCTCCCGAAGGCACCCCCTCCCACGCTCACCTGGTCTGGTTCAGCACCTAACAGGCTGTGCACATGTCAACACTGAGAGTTTACAAAGCCAGAGGGTTTTCATCAGCCGAACAGCTGCTGCAAACAAAAAAGAAAAAAACAGACTTACTGTCAGTGGTGCACTCTTTCCGTGGGGATGATGTGGTCTTTGAACATCCCTAGAGATGTGACTGAGAAATGCCAAACGTGGCAGGCACCAGGCAGGAGGTGGGGAGGGAGGAGATGTGGGGCTGGCTGCTCTGTGGGGAGCGAACCGAGGGCAGGGTAAAGTGCAGAACCCACCGGTGCTTTTCCTCCGTCTCTGCCCACCCCAAACATGTTTACAGGGAGGAATCATATCCCTTCCCAGCACTCGTTCTGCTAAGCTCATGCCCTCTCATCACCTCTTTGCTGTTTCTCTGTTTATTCAGGTGATGCTTCTCTGTACCTGTTCCAGCACGAACCCTGGCTTGCTGAGCACTGGTAGCCTGGATGATGCCCTAAAATCTCAGTGGAATTTCACCCAGTGCCTTGTATGTATTTACTTATTGTTCCTGGAAATACTTGCTTTGCTACATGTAAGACTGCATTTATTATTTTAATAACTACATCGGGCATGTGGCTTTTCCTCTTCTGTTCACAGCTGATGAATTTTAATTTTTACAGAAAGGTTATTAGTCTCTCAGTGCGTGTGCTTGCATTTTATATGGTTACATTTCGTCCCATGTCTGTTCCCAGGGCATAGCAACCATATAGTTCTCCCTGTAAGACTTCTCCATTGAAAACATCTCCCAACTTCGTTATTACCAAACTTCGTTACCCCACTTGTCATTTTTTGCACCAAGCTGACTTAATGCCATTATTCAGTAAGACAGATTCCTCCAGACCCGTAACTTTGCTATCAGCACCATCAGCAGTTTTCACCCCTGTACTAGATTCCTTCAGCATTTTATAGTGTTTATGTTACTCCTCATCTTCTTGAGTTTAACTAATAAGTTTCCCAGTAATACTAAATCAAATGTTTTACCAAAGTCCACACTGATAAGATTTTACCAGTTTTCCTTTGGCCACAAAAGCAATTATCTTATCAAAGACAGATATTGGGTTGGTCTGCACATAACATGCCTATCTTGCACTTTAACCCATTTTCTCCTGCCCTCCACGACTTTTGTTACTCATTTGCCCTGCAGCCCTTGTGCTAAAAAGCCTATAGACTTTGTGCTAAGCAGCCTATAGATTTTGCTGATGGCGATTATTCAGCCTTCAGAACTGAAGGGTGAGGGAGGAGCTTTGAGTTTTGTGGCTGTGTTACACGTGGCAATTTCCATGCCCATGCCCTCGAGCCTGTTGACAGTGCTGCCTCTGCCTTCCAGGGTTGCATTATCTTCCGTATGGAACTGAAGCAGCACATCCCTTTAGCTTCTAGCTATCCAGCTCTCTACCCTGCTGTCATTGCTGGTGATCCTTTCCTTTGCTTTGTAGTGATGTAGCTAAAAACCTTTTCCTCTTGATCTTCCTTTTGATTTGCTTCGATTTTGAGCAGTTCTAAGTTTGTGCCTTTAACTGTTGATGTTTGAAGGATAGGTTTCTCTGTATATCATTCCCTTCTTCTCTCTCTCTTTTTATTTCTATTTTTTGAAACTAGACTTCCTGTATTTTTCTGAGATGTCCAGCTCTGTCTGCACTGCAGTTCGTATCCTAGCTGGGTACTATGGAGCTCGAGCTAATACTCTGCCTCTACCCTAACTGCAAGCACCACACCTGCCCCACGCCTTGAATCAGACAGCCTGCTGGCTGGCATTAGCATCAAAATTACAAATATAACACGGGCCTCTTTGTTTTCCAGTGGAAAAATTGTGGGCACAGGTTTTCCCTGAATTATATTCTAAATGGAAGGTTTGCAGAATTTAAAATGTATGTATAAACACTAGATTATTGTACACATAACTGCTATTAATTGTGGGCATTATGTAGTAGCCATTTATACTGAGGCAGCCTGTAGCTCGGTGTAGCTCCTCCAGGGTGTTGGATACAAACAAACACTGCCAGTTCATGTCCTTAAGAACTCACAGTCCAAGTCACTTCCAGCTTCCACATGGATTTCTTGCAGTCTGGCTTTACCAGCTCACAGGATACAGAAAATAAATCAACAGTGAAGTTTTTACTCCGCTCATTTTATTCAGTTGAGTTCTCTGCTGCACCTCCTGGTTAGATTAGATAGCAAGAATGTTTGTTTGTTTGTTTGTTTTTCCACACTTCAATAAGTTCTCCAAAAAGGTACTTAGCAGAAAATTAGACTGAATTTTAGCCGTATAGAAATCTTAAGTCAACTCCAAGCAATTTTCATAATCCAAGCAGAATGGACCAAGAAGCCAGCTGTAAACAGTCCGTATTGTTTAGGGCTTTCTGCAATCCAATGGATGAGGTTTTCAGGAGAAGTAAAATGTTACAGGACTGTAACAGAAGTGAAAAATGCTTCTGCTGCAAGGAAAACCGTACTGGTAACTTATTGTTAGTTGTCTTCAAAACAGACATCAAACCCCAGACAGCAGACCTACAGAGACTTTCCAGAATCCAAATATACCTCCTCTGTAGGCAGCAGAGGCTGCAATCAGAAGGGAGGATGTCATCTGGAAATTATGAAGTGGATGCAGAATTGATTAGAGGAGCATGCAGGTACAAGTAGGACAACTGGTAGCAAGAAGAGCTCAGTACCAGTCTCCCATCTGCAGATCTTATATATAGTGATGGAGCAGTCAGATTACAAAGGACGGTTTTGCCTACCAAAATTACTGAGTGCTTTGGCTTGGTTTCCAAACTGATCTTGTTATCATGATGCACCTGGAAATAGCATTTGACTGAGATAACAAGAAGCAAACCATGATAATGGAGATCTACAGGCAGATGGAGAGAGACACAGGTTGCCATAGAAACCATGCAGAAAAAGCGTGTAGGAGTGGAGCAAGGCACAGAAAGAGAAGGGGTTAGAGACTGAAGAACTGAACTCGCTCAGCTTTTCGAGACATTAACAAAAACATATTAGTTTTACAGGGGACTGAGAGCCATGGAGGGCAGGAATCCTAACGGTGAGCTGCAGAAGGCAGCGATGCCATGTTGTGCCATAGGGGAGGGCAGAAAAAGCCTCTGGAAAAAGGCCAGAGGTGAATGAGGTGGCTGAAATGGGTGGGAAGCCCTGGAGCACAGCCACAGCCCTTGCTCCCTTGTGCCTGGTGAGCACGCTGGTGAGAAGGGGATGTGCTTGGCCTCCTCCCTCCCCACACGGAGGCCGTAGGTGTGCAAGAGGTCACCCTGCTTCCAGCAGTGCCTGCTTCCAGAGTCAGAATCAGGGCCCCTCAGTCCTGTCCTCCCTGAGCTCCCAGGGCACAATCCTTTCCTCAGAGGGTGCCCTGCTGGGATTACACAATATTCCAGCCCGGGTTCCCGGCTTCCAGCCAGCCTGAGCCCCAGTTTGCGTTTCCAAGTCTGGGCTGTGCTGCAGTGATGTAACGCGGGAGGCTGGAGCATGACTCAATGCAAAGTCACACTGCATGGAACTGGAAATGGTGCCAAATGTGACTGTGGGGGATGCAGGCGGCGAGGGAAACTTTGTAGGCAGCCTGAGCTGCTGCCGTCTGTGACTCTGGTCCTTTCAGCTGGACATCTGAGATTCAGTGGAGCTGTGGTACAGCAGAATACAACGCACAGTGACGGATGGAGAAGGGGAAGGAAATTATGAGATGATTGATGGTGACTGAAAAGCCCAAACAAATAAAGGTTTTGACTCATTAAGTACTACAGGAGTGATGAATAGCCTATTAAAAGCAAGCACCAGTGATTCTGCACATCAAACAGTTCAGCATTTCACATGCATGCTCACTTACAGCGAAGCCACAGATCCAGTAACACAGCGATATCTGTAAAGCTCCAGAATCGAGACTCTCTCAAAGGATCTCAACAGTATAAAACACTCCAGAGGCTGACGTAAATTGTATTACCTTTACCTAACCTCCATGGCCATTTTCACCTGTGGTCAGAAAATTAGAGCTGTGAACTCAGTCTGCTATAGGAGAAAGGCTGGTCTTGGAACTGTGTTCCATGTTCTCGTGTCATGTTAGCTACTGCTGTAGTGGGTTTTTTATTCTTTTATTCTTGATAAAAGTAGGTTTTCTTTCCTTTTTTTTTTTTTTTTTTTTTTTTTTTTTTTTTTTAAATGTTCATTATCTAGAAGAGTTTGGAAAAACACACGATGTTTCTCAAACTATTAACAAACTCAAGTATCAGCTGCCTTGAGCAAGAATCTAATCCTAAGAAGCATTGACTGTACAATTAACCAGATATGAAGCACTATTAGCAACAGTATCTTTTGGGGTGGTTTTCTCAGTAGTTTGAAGCTTTTCCAGTTCAGCAATGATTATGAGAAATAGCACTCCTCGTGCAAGAAAGGCAGGCGGTACTCTCCAGGATTTCTGTTATTTCTCTATGTGCCTGTAGGGGATGTAGTTCCCCTAGCAGATAGAAGTAGTGATTGCTTATCTCCCCTGCACCACCTACCAGCTAGGATACAGGTTTAAAATGTTAAGCTTGGTCTTATCCATAGATAGTTTTTAGGACAGGAAAAAGTGCTAACCAACTAACAAGGGGGTGATAGAAAACTCTTATCATTCCTATTTGGAAAATAAATATATATACACACATATATTTAGGAATACAAGTGATGAGAAAATATGTTGGGGTTTAGAGCTTTAGTCTTTGAACATGGATAGATTTTGCTACTCTGAAGAAATGATTCTGATGTGAAGAAAGGTGGAGCACATATAGCCAGACTATAAGCTTTGGAAGAAATCTGCAGGAGCGGTACATGGTTTTCCTCAGATCCTGGACAATTTTCTAAGAGTATCAGAGTGATAAAGTATGGAAAATATGGCAAATTTTCTTAACATGAGTTACAATAAAATACTATTCACTTCAGTTTGTAGCCATCATCAGGCCTACAAAGGCAAATACTGCTAAACATGTATTATCCTTTTCATGCTTTCCTCCCCCAGAGCTGCAACTCTTTCTGAGTTCTTCCAGGAAAGAAACTGGCAGCAGCAGAAATCACAGCGATGGGTAAGGGCCAGGCATCCTCGTGACAGGGTGCTCGGCAGTGATTTTGGTCATTTTGAGCCACTACATTACAAGTGGGGAAGGAGACTAAGAGCAGTAAACCTGACCAAAGGTTATAACTAGTAACAAATGTAAACTGAAGGTAAAGGACACCTTTAACAGTGCCTTCTTAGCAAAACTGGTTATGCAGTTGTTAAGCATTTTGTCAATGCCACCTTACGATAATCTCTGGTATTGCAAGTGCAGCACTTTTTTTTAAAAGAAAAATGCAAATGCATGGGGTTTGCCATCAGAGTTTACTCTCTGTACTCTCGGGTTAGATCCTGAGAGACTGCAGAAACACACAGTAAAAACATGAACCTGTCTGCTGTGTTGGGGAGGTTGTAGGTGGTGTAATATCCTGCTGCCTGTCTGACAGCAACAGAAGGTCTGGCACAGGTAAAGTATATTTCTGCTGGGACCAGTAGTCATCAAGCAAGGGGAAATAAAAGACACACATGGGACTCTTGCCTGAGTTGCTTTTGCTTCACATTTTCCCAGGAACATTTCAGTGGCGTTGGCATGCATTATGATACAATACAATGGTATTATATTTCCAGTTATGGTTGCAAGTGATCAGCAGGAGAGGAACTAACATGTTTAGAGGGCAAGAGGAATGCAGTTCTGGCCCAAATGTTCTTCAATGGACAATCTGACTCTGTTGATCTGTTCTCTTTTGGTTCCACGGGAGAAACATGCAGCTGAAAAAGCCTTTATTTTCCTGCAGTGATGAGTGTGCTTGTAAAAAGGCAGAAGTGGGGGATTTTATGCCTGTGCAGTGGTAATATATTATGTCTCTGTAAGACATATTATAGCTGTAGGTGCAACAGGCAGTCCTCACTGCCTCACTGTGGTCTGTTAGTCAGATTTTGTGTGCGTGCTTGGCAAGGAGGAACAATATGGGCTAACTTAAAGCTGGCTTGGTATTTATAAATACATTTTAAAGACATGATACTTGTCAAATCCTATCCTCATCTGATGGCCAAAGGCAAAAATGTTTTGAATGTTGCTGGGAAATCTGGAATGTGCTGATGGGAGAGACCAAGAGAGCCTCTAGGGTTATGAAGCTGCTGTCAGGGAAGGATGTTCTCTGTGTTGAAGGGATGCAACTGGCCAAATGAACTGTTTGAAATAACTTTGCATTTTTGTTTCTGTTTGACCTACATGTATTCTCATATAGGGAGGGCACTTTTAGCATCTTTTGTGTAACAGTTGTTTACTGTAATATAGCAGTGCTGAAAGTGAGACCACAAAAAGGTAGGTGGCTGTGTGTCCAAGCACCCTGCCTGTGAGCTGGAGAGGATGAAGAAGTGATGGGGTGAAATGGGATGTGGAGCAGCTAACCAAGGGAAGTATCCTTCAACCCTGATTTTAAGAAGTAGTACAGCCACAATCAACTGTATTTTGCTTTTGCAAAAGTGATGCCTGACCTGAAAGAATACACAAACCGAAAACTATTTTTCCCAGTTAGCTTTGTGTCATTCTGTGAAGGAAAAAAAATGCTTAACTGTTGCCCACATGCAGTATCTAGTGGCAAAATAGAAAGAAGTGTGTATTTCCTCTCAAGGTCAGGCTTTGCTTGGTGAATAAAGCTCTGGGAACTTCTGAGTTTGGCCCTGTTGTATGGGTCTCTGCAGAAATTGAACTGGAGGACAGATGTGGGTTTCTCTGAATATTTGGTATCAAACTTGGCATCAAGTCTGGTGCTTGATTTGAAATGAAATATTCTTCCACCAGGACTGCCGAAATCTTTCACTAGAGGGCATCAGCCGGCCGGGAGAACCGCTCCCACGGGCAGAAAACCTTTTCCTGAAAAGAAATGCTGGTACCTGAGCGGTGTCTGAGCCTGCTCACCGGCTCTTTGACAGAAGCTTGTTTGGCAGGCTACCTAAAACGTCCTTTAAACCGAGATATCCTGAACAGCCCTAAACTCTTTGTGCCAGTAATGACCAAATAGGTCGGCTTTGCCCAGTTGGGAGGGATTCTCTCTCTTCTGTTTGCAGTGGATGCCCACAGAGGAGGGCTGCATTCCTCCTGGGTAACCCGCCTGGAGGAGCAGTATGGGGGCTGTCTGTCACGGTGCTGCCTGTAACAACCCTCCCACATCCCCGGGGGCGGGCGGGCGCACTTCGGTGTTTGTTTAAACTCCTTTATTTTCGTCCAGGCGTGCTCGCCCTCTCCTGAGGGACGCCAGGTCTACCCAGCGCCCGTGAGGGAGCTGGGAGATGGCGGCCGCCGCCCCCGCCGGGCGCTGCCCGCACCAAAGATGGCGGCGGCGCTGAGGCGGAAGGGGCGGCCGGGCGGAGCGGGGCGGAGCGGGGCGGTCCGGAGCAGAGCGGAGCGCTCCGGCCTTCCCCGGCCGTGCGGGGAGCCGAGCCGGGCCGAGCGGGGCTCCGGGGGGGCGCGGGCAGCCGCCGCCGCTGCCATCTCCCAGCTCAGCCCGCATGGGGCCGGCTTGAGCGGGGCCGGGAGGCGCGGCGCCATGCAGTGCGCCGACCCCGCGGCCGCCATGAAGGGGCCGGAGGGCGAGGGCAAGGCGGAGCCGCCGGCGGCGGCGGGGCAGAGCGGCGGCAAGAGCGGCGGGGGCCGCGGAGCCAAGGGCTGGCACTACAGGTGGGCACGGCGGGGCCGGGGAGGTGGGGGGGGGGCTGCGGGAGCCGCCGGTGCTCGGAGAGCCCGGGGCGGGTGGCGGTGCCCTCCGCCGGGACAGCTCGGGCAGCGCCCCGGGGGTGGCTGCTGGCTGCCAGCTGCAAGCCGCCGCGTGGTTTAGTTCTTAATTTGTATTATTTTTAATTATTTTCTTGGTTAGATTGCTTCGGGGGGGTGTGCGCCGTCGCTTGGAGGCGGCTGTCGTGTGGCCGGGGGTGCTGGGGGGACGCGCCCTGCTGGCTGCTGCTGCCCCCTGCCAGGCTACGGGCACACGCTCCGAGTTGTCGGGGATGTGCCTCCCTCCCTCCAGCACTTCTAAAATAATAAACTTTGTGCTGAACTCTAGCGTGGCCTGCCTGCGTTGGGACCGTAACCTCGATGTTTGGCGTGTTTCGGTGCCTGCCAGAAGCTCCCCGAGCTTTGCCTGGCGTGCTGTGGTGGCCGCTCACCGCCAGCCTGCCTAGGGTGAGGGGAGCGTGGGGAAAGCTGACCCCACAGGGTTCATTAGAAACAGATACAAATTAAAACGCTTCCTGTGAGTGAGCGTTTTCTGGTTCAAGGAGTTGCTGCTCCCATCCAGATCAAGGACGTCTAAGGTTTGAGGGGCTTGTGACTGCTTTAGGGCTTTCATCCTCCACTGGAGTTGAGCTGTGTTGCCATTGAAATTAGCACAATTCTGTGAAGTTTGCGCATTTTTCCTGCTAATGGAGACCCTCCCGAGCAGTCAGTGGACACTGCTGTGTCCTGCTCCTGGGGGCAGGAGAAGGGGCGCCTTGTGCTTCTGCACGGGATGTTGGGGGGTCACCCACTTGCCTTGTAGAAACAAACACCTAGGCCCAGCTGGCAAGGGTGCTTCGTGCCTAATGATTTTAACAGGGAGTGGGCAGTGCAGGCGTCTCTGAGCACCTAGGTCTTAAGTAACTTCCTTCTGAAAGCCCCCTTTTCAGGATCACCCACCCGGCTCTTCTGTTGCTCATGCTCACTGTTGTGGCTCGCAGGGCAGAGGCTGTGCTGAGCCCACCAGCCTCACTGCAGCCAGCGAGATATGCCTTGCGACTACCACTATGTGGCTGAAATTGCTCTAGTGGAAACTTGTTATTTTGTAGGTCTTTGGGACGAGTTTAATATATTAATTGTGTTATGATGGACACTGAGGTACCTTGCTGTTAATCTCCGCTCTGTTGGGAATCTATTTACAGCTCTGTTTGACTTTTTATGTTTAATCAGGGACAAAACATCACGTTTTCCCCCTGCCTCCCTAGGATGGTTTCCTGTCAGGATGCTGCAGTTTAGTTTTTGCATGCTTACTTTTATTACGGAACGTTGTCGAGTAAAGGAAGATCTCTCTAGTAATAAATGGGTCAGTACCTAAAATAGTGGGTTTAGAAACATTTCTGGTGGTGGAAGTTCTCTCTTTTTAACTTTCCTGGCACAGGGCGTGGGCAGTGCGTGGTCGTGCAGTGTAGCAGAAGTAAGGTCCCTGAAGCACTGTGTCAGCACAGACTGTGTGGTGCAGAAGTGTAACTCTGTACTTGGTGAAGTGTCTTTTCAAAGCATGGTTGTAAGACAAATGGGGCCAGTACTTCATACTTCACTGCTATGAATGGGGAATCACGATGGTGTGTGTGTGGGGGGGGAAGGGGACAGAAATCTTTAGCATTACTGGAACCTGAAATAATGACAACTGAATCTCAGAGAGTTGGAAAGTCACGCTTCCTTGTTGTACGGTGCGTGTCCAGAGAATATTAAAAAATGGAGCAGAAAGTCTAACTTTACGGTTTTGTAGGGAAGTAGTAGGGAGGTTTTTTAAAGAGCTGTAGTAAAGGGTTAGGCCTAATGTTTTTCAGTGGAGAAGAAACCACCAGAGGCAGCTGAATGCTTCAGGTTATGTAGAAGTACAGATAAATCTCTTTGCAGACATGCTCTACTCAGAGCCTGTGTGTGATGAGTTTGGGCAGCCCACACAGCGGTGCCTCCTGCGGCTTGTATGGCTCAGTTTCTTTGGAGTGAAGGAAGGTACTCTTTTATTTTTATTTTTTTGACTTAGTTGTTGAGTATGGGAGTCTGGAGAAACTGCGCTTCTAGACATCTGACAGGAAATTATCTTGCTTACTTATGGATGTGTGATGAGTCTCAGAGTGTGTCTGAGAGCAGCCAATGCTGAGCTGCCTTTTCTTGACTGATAGCAGTAACAGCGTGAACATTACGTTACAGTGAAGTAGATAAGAAAGAGCCTGAGAGGCTGTGCTTCATGCACAGTTATCAAGTTAGGAAGTGGCATTGCCCATTTGCATTCAGCTATTCTACTTTTAGTCTTGATCATCTTCATTAATTTTTGCACTGCTCTAGATTGAGTGAACAGAGTAGCTTGGAAGCAGTGAGAGAAAGGCGACAGCCTTGGCAGGTACTCGTATGATGTGTGAATCATAGTCATTCAAATAACATAAAAATTTCACAAGCAGAATCTGTATCTGTGAGCTAAATAGAAAGCTGGTCAGAGTACTTGCCAAGGAAATATAACAAATCCTCTCAGCCTGCCTTGAGGGAATTTCAGATAATTTTGAGAGAAATGACTTGCAATAACTGGTTCTCGTTTATCTCCGAAGATAAAAGTTCAAGGCACTGCAGTTGACTAGAGAAATGAGATTGTCTTTCCCCGTTGGAGATGTGCTAATGTGCTGTCCTCTCACATTTTTCTTCATGGTTCTGTTCTCAAATGCATAAATCAAATCAGTTTCTTTTAAAAGGGCTCACAGCACTTCTTCCCTTGCTGGTAGAAATATATGTACATGCTCATTAATTTCCTAGTGATAGCTGATTTTAAGATTACAAGTTACATTTCAAAACTTATTTGCTTTTTAGTTCCTCATGTCTTCTTTTTGGTAACTATCTTTGTTCCTTATTTCTTAAACAGCTTAAGCATCTGTTCACTATGGATGTTGCCACAGATGTCTGTGAAGTGTTACAGGTCAGATGTCTTTTGCTGTTTTTCAAGGAAGCAAGTTAACTTTATCTGTTCTTGAAAGTTTACTAAATGCTGCCGGGCTGTGAATTAATATATCAGAACATTTCAGTGGAGGCAGTTTCTAAGGCAGGGAGTCAGTTTCCTAGACTTTTTCCTCTAGGGGTGGCAACGACAGGAAAGCGAGTTCCTCATGCTGGATGCATTCTGTGCGCTTAGTTTATCAGCTTAAGATGGTTTCTCTTGTTACATTACTCCACAGGCCTTTGGGCCAGAGTAAAAAAGGCTGAGAGTGAGTAAACAGCAATGCAAACAAACAGCGGAGAGGGCTTTGGCAAAAAGAGCAGCGTTATAGCATCATAACTCTTTTAAAAGTCAAATTCAAAAATCTAAGAAATTGAATGCTGGGTGACAGTTGTCTTTGAAAGGCTTTGTTTTGCAGTTGACACTGACTGCTCTTCATAAATGAACACACACACCAAAAAAAACAACACACCAACAACAAAGGCTCTCCCCTGAAAACAACCAACCAAAAAAATGTGAAGAGTTACTGACCTTAAATCAGTCTTCTATTGGAGCAGATGAGCATGCAGTAGTGCAGCAGAACAGGCAGCTGAAACACATGGGTATATTTTTAATTCTGTGTTTCAAGATGATTGTGGACCCTTCCCCATAAAATAATACCATGGGAAACGTGTTTTAAAGGGGGGGGTGGTTGCACTTGTGAGTTTGATCTCAGTTGACTTGGGGTGACAATCTGCTGCACTTCAGACAAGTGGAAGCAAAGTGTGTGAGACTGAGCTAGGCTGTGGAAGTGCTTAATTACTATTATTTTTTTTTCATGCTGTCTTGTGAAATGAATTAATTAGCTCCAACAAAGGGAAGTGTCTTGAAACTGATACCATCGTCTTGAGCAGATGTTGATAAGAGCCCTTTTTATTGAGGGTGGAGTTAATGTCGGTCTTAGTTGTGAGGATAATATGTAGAGTTTTTCTAGTTTCTGTGTTTTTCTGTTCAAGATTAAGCATTCTTGGAATGTGGAGGATAAATTTCATGCATTTCGCCCTTTAAAGCTGAAAGCAGCTTGGCAGAAGCAGATAAACTGGGTAACGGCAACGCGATATCTAACAGCGCTTCCTACAGTGAGCCTCTCCCTTGCTGATCCTTCACTCCTGTCTCTGACCAGCATTTCTCATTATAGCATTAATGTAAGCATCTAATTCTTGCTTAGGCTGCCATACGGTGTATTAGCTGGCCTAATTAACTTTGGACTCCTGAGAACAGGCTGGAATTTAAGTCCCTATCACTTGAAAAGTATAAAAAAAGAAACGTTATGCAAATGTCATGCTGGGACAGCTCCCAGTAAGGAAGTACCGGGAGCTCAAGCACTTTTATTTCCCATCTCCCACGTCCTGGGGTTCCTCCCTGTGCTGTCTGGAGCTAATTATTTGGGGTCACGCGTGGGGTTTTGGTGCTGGGTGTCCCCAAGCCCCCTCCAGGCCATAACATGGTGTTACCTCAGCTTCCTCAGCTCCTGTGGCGTTCCCTCAGGTTCCCGCTGCCGCCCGGCTCTGTGACATCAGGGCAACGCCCACCGCTTCCATTTATTACTTATTACGTTTCTATGGAGGGTTTTGCTGATTGTATGATGGCTCTGATGTCACACTTGTGTCACGGTGACCTCAGCCTGTTTCTGGAGGCCTGTGATGGCGCCCAGGCCATCTGGTGGTGGAAGGCCCCGGCTGCCGGGGATCTCACGGTGCCGGTGGTTGTGCGAGTTGCCCTCTGTTCTGGTACCAGCAGTCAGACGCGGATGGATGTCACGTTCATTCACCATGATGGTGGGAAGTGGCTGAAAAGCCCCGTGCCTGGATTTATTTATCCTCATCTGAGTCCTTCCTTAATGAGTATACCGTACTCGTAGCACTGACTGAGAAACACTGCGCTCGATGTAGTTGTCTCTTCACAACACAAGAAGGCCGTGTTTAAAATGCTCAGCTGCTTATATCACCCCCCAATCTGTTCATTGTTAATAAAATGTTAAGATCGTTATTTATCGCACTTATTTTTGTCCTTGATAAAGCTCCAAGCACTTCTCAAAAGGCAGGTGAGCGTTGGTGCTCACAGACTGAAAGAAAGGAGATGGAGCAGATGACAGCCCAGATTCATTGTGAATTGAGAGAAGTGTGTGTGCGAGTGTGTAATAAGTGGGTAGAGTTGGAGAAACAGGTTTGGGCAACTTAAATAGGTCGTGGTGATGGCTGGTGTTCTAGCAGAGACCTGAACTGGGGCGGCAAGCTCTGAGTTTGTCTCCAGCCCTGTGGCTGCTCCATGAGCAGCTCTCAAGAGCCGTATCCCTCTCCTGCTTCCCAGAGCAGGCTGTAAAAGCTGCTGGGGCAGGAGCAACAAACATGGGAGTTGGTTCTGACATGCAGGATACTTTTCTTAATACTGGAATATTCGTTCAGAGTTAAAAATTAAGCTGAACTGAAGAAGCAGAAACTTCTAAATAGCTTTTAACCATCCAACAATTTGTGCTTTCCCTAGAACAGATCTCTCCAGGAGCTAATGGCCATTACAAGCGCCAATCCTGGAAGTGCAAAGGGTACTTTCTCAACTTGCCTTTTCTAACATAATCGTGTAGCAGCATGTTAATTAAAATTGCCTACAATATTAACATCCTCCTCTGCCACACACGCTCTCTCCCTAGAGAGAAGATGAAAAACAAACTGCGTGTGACCTAATCACACTGCTTAATGTACAAGCAGAAAGTGCCAGCTGCTGCTGGTAGATTGTCCTAGGTTGGTTCTCATGCTGTACTCACAGTACCATGAAAACCACAGCACCCTGTTTACTTAGGGATGTTGCCTTGACACACATGCCCATCATCAGCTGGTGTGATGTGTTTTTATTGTAGGGATCACTGCTTGCTGATAACGCTGTCTGACAACTTTCATTTTAGGGTGCTTGCAAAGCTGATGTGGTTTCAGGTTTTCTGTGTGGCACATCTAATGATGAAATGCAACAGGCTGAAATGGGGGGGGAGAAGTGCTGGTATTTTGTGTGTTAAGCTGGCAACATCATGTTTGATAACCTGGGATGCCTCTCTGCTTTGGAGCAGGAACGTCAGTGTCACGGGGAAGGCTTTTTGCCTCGGATGTGCCTTTTTGTCTTTCATGTGTAAATTTCTAAGTTTTTGAGTCTGAAAATCTTTAAAAATGTGCTTAGTGTTTAGGCACTGATGTTAATTTCCAACAGAGCTCAGTTTGCCGAAGTTGACTTCATTTGCAGTGGAGCTGCGATGCCCGAGTGGTCTGCAACTGAAAGCCAAAAGTCTTCGAGGTAGAGCTGCAGGACGCTGTGTTCATGTGCTCGTTTCTCACCCTGGCTCTGACCTCCTCTGTGCTAACAGTCACGCTCTTTAAACTGTTCTTCCTCTGTAATCACTAATTGTATGTTCCTCTTTCTCAGAGGCCTAGTTTGGAACAGTTGGCTTTGATTTTGCAGAACTGTTGCAGGGTCACAGCTGCAGCTGAAATCACCAGAAGCTGTGATTTGAAAATATCAACTGCAAAAATATGGTAGGGAAAAAAATGGGCCGCAGCAAGCTCATAGCTAGAAAGGCTGAAAATTCACTGTACATCCGTTCAGTAAAATGGGATGACAGTATCCTCTTTCTTTATTGTTTGGTGCATCACTCCTTCATAAACATCGCTAACAAGCACAGGAGAAGAAACTCATAGGAAAGCTTTTTGTGGGAGTATGAATATCAAATGAATAACGCCTGATGTTCACTGTGCGATGAACAGGAAAGGTTTTGAGTAATTTCTTGTGTGGGGATTAGCGTCCACTTAAAGCACTGACCAAGAAAGTAGTCCTGATATTTTTGTTTGTTGTGATGACCATGAGTGGTTAAACTAACACAGATGCTTTCTTAATTAGCGCTTAAACCTGCTGAGTACCTCATGCCTCAAGTTTAATGTAGGAATATTTTGGGTTCATTTCTGTATATCTAAAAGCTATAGGATAGTTTGGGTTGGGATATCTCTAGTCCAGCCTCATGCACAGAGCAGGGCCAGCTTCACAGTTATAACAGGTCATTTAGGGCCTTCTCCAATTGAGTTTTGAGCATATCCAAGGATGGATATATTTTTGCTTGTTTGGAAATAGTAATTTTTATCCTGTTTAACCTGAAATGTCTCAAAGATTGTTCAAAAAATAAATGTCTCTACTTTTTATCTGGATAACTAATCAGTGTCCATACCTATGTTTTAAGAGCTCCTAGGTTAGAAGAGGTTAGAAGCAGACCAAAATGCCTGAGGGAAAAATATGCATAGCAGCTGAGCTAAAACACACTGGAGGGTGCTTAGAGTAACTAACTGGTTTTAGCACCACTGTCTGTGACTAGTACTTGCCAGTGTCTGCCACTTTCTGAAGGGCTGTAGACAGCAGATATTGCAGCATTTCAGAGGTGCTCATCCATCAGTGTGTTTGCCCAGCTTGCGTTGCGTTGTTATGTTACGTTGCTGCTGTTTGCTGAGCAGAGCAGCTTTAACTGTCAGCTGCCTGAGCTTGATGAAACTGGACTGGAAGGGAAAGGTTTGGTTTCTGGTAAACAATAATACGTGAAGCTGTGCGTTATGGTGTGCAGCCATAAACTGGCAACATGAATGCTGTTAGTTACAGGAAGCAATAGCTGTGCTCCAAGGGTGTAAGGTGGAGAGTTCATACCTCCTGAGCTGCCTGGTTTTTGTACCTTTCACCTCTAAGATATTGCTGTGAGTTAAATCCGCAGTTACTTGTTCAGCAGTAGCTTGAGTACTGGTTATCCTTGCAGAATAATCTGCAGGGCTGGCTGCTGACTCTCAGGTCCAGCTTCTTTTGTGTTATGCTGATGCAAACCCACAAATAAATTGTGTGTGGGTAGAGTTCATGCTGACTCGAGCTCTTTACATACATGCAAGAGAAATTGCTTAGCTGAAACTTACTGCAGTTTTTTTTTATAG